AAGACCGGCCAGCTCACCACCTCTTCTTTTATGAGGTCATGCTGTTTTAATAGCTGCATTATGCGTGTTAGCATTGTCTTGCTGAAATATGCGGGGCCTTCCCTAAAAAAACACGTCATTGGATGGGAGCAGATGTGCTAACTACCAATCCCATAGGCATTAATACACTCCCAATGCCATGAGAGATGTGGACTTTTATACTGAGCGCTCATAACAAGTTGGATGAATCCTTTCCACTTTGGTCTCGAGAGCATGGTTTCCATGTTTTCCACTGAAAATTTCAAAGACCACAGAAAACCTTTCCACTTTACTTCAGCCTATTCTGAATAAGCTTTGAGCCCAGAGAAGACGGCAGCATTTCTGGATCATGTTCACATATGGCTTTAACTTGCATTTGTGAATGGACAGACAATGATTTCTGAAAATGTCTCCCATCCCATGTAGTGACTCACACGACAGAATCATGTGTGTTTTTAATGCAATGCTGCCTGAGGGCCTGAACATCACAGGCATTCAGTATGTTTTTTTTGCCTTGTCTCCTTGTGCAAATATTTATCCAGATTCTCTGAACCTCTTTTTAACGCTATGAACTGCAAACAATGACAAACTCTTCACAATTTTACATTGATGAACATTATTTAGAAATGATGCCACAATGTCTGGGCCCAGTCTTTGTACAGAATGGTGAACCTCTGCCCACCTTGAGAAACTCTGCCTCCCTAAGATGCTCTTTTTAGACCCAATCACGTTACTAACCTGTTGCCAATTAACCTATTTATTTGCAAAATTATCCACCAGGCGCTGCTTATCAGTAACATTTACTTTTCTAGGCTTTTGTTGCCCTGTCCTTTTAGTTTTGAAACGTGTTGCTGCCGTTAAATTCAAAATGAGATAATTTTTTCCTTGAAATAATAAAATGTTTCAACATTAAAGATTTTATATATTTTATGTGTTCTATTGTTAATAAAGAATAGATTTATATTATTTGCAGATCATTGCTTTCTGGTTCTATTTAAACTTTAAACTGTGTCCCAGCTTTTTTTTTTAGGCTGGGGTTATACAAACATTGTGTCATTGTACAAAAACCAATGGGTCTGCTGAAGTTTCTGGATCCACATATTATATAAGCATACCTGGTGCTGTGTATGCACTATTTTATCCCCAATCAAGACATACTGGCTTGGCTCTAATATAAACTAGACGGGAACACAAGCTTTGTATTAATGCTTCAGGTGTGCAATGACAGCTTTGTCATTGAAAAAGCTCAGAGTCGTTATTCAAACAGCTCCGAAAAGTTTCGTTCCACTGACTGAGTCCATGTCCTGGATACTGAAATATTTTGACTCAAACAAAAACAAATACAAAGCCGATAATTCACCACATTAAAAACTGTTAAGTTGGTTTCTAAAACAAAAAGATGATTTCTGGAAAACACCCACAGACTCGCTTATCCTCACACACTCATGAACTGGAGGAAAAAGGAAAAAGATGGCATGCAGCGTGGGGGAGATAAAGACAAAGATGACGGTGTCAGCAAGACAGACAGTAACACAACTTTCATTCCAGTTAGCTCCACCCAGGATAAAGCTTTTAAAAATGGTATGTAAGGTGTTTTCACTGAAAGTGAAGTCATGTACAGCATGTCTACGGAGTTATTATCACATGAATCTCACAGACTGATGTGAAAGGGGAGAGGCAGCAAAGCAGAAGAGCTGGTGTTCAAAAGAACCTCATAATGTTTTGGTATATATCAAATCATTTTACTTTATTTTTATTAGATGTGAGCATTTAGTTCATCCAAATGTGGATTGAAAGAAGATTTTACTTTTTTTAATTAACAAATAATTTCAGTTTCAGTGCATTTATTCTAGTAGAGACAGTGCAAATGCCTACTAAGACAGTCTATTACCATTATCTATTACCACATCTGTAGTGAGTGCATAATTAAAATACAGTGTCGTGAAAGTCAACTAGTCCTTCCAGATCTACTACTGCTTGACTGACTCATGCATATAACTCATACTTATAATCCTACTTTGTATGAACTACGTGAGTCTTGTGCACGCACATATGTTTGAAATATAAAGGTTTTATTTTGAAAGAGTAGCTCTACTTTGGAGTATTACCAAACTCTTAAAAGCAGAGATATTAAGAAGGCTTTGCAAAAGTACATAATGTGAACGATACGAGCCGTCGTTACCCTTGTGTGTGTTAACGGCCAGCTGTACCAATGTATCAGCAGCAATGCTGGGAAGTAACTTTAGTAGTTACATGTAATTGTCAAACGGCATGGTGGTGCCGCTGTTGCCAACTGTTCCTAGGTTAACAGTTGAAATAAACGGTTAACATGACAATTTAACACGATCTCATTAACATGAGAAAACAGATGACTCTCTGCTAGGCATACGTGCATACGTGTTATAGAGTTATTGAGATGTCCTGTATCAGTCCTCGTGGCAGCAGAGATAAATAAGTGGCTAGAAAATAGATAGATGTAAATTGTTTCACATTTCCCCCCCTTTTTTATATTATTTCATAAAACATATCTTTTTAGACACACCTTTAACTGATATATTATTCTATACTTATTCTGAATTTCCTACAAACTGTGTATGGTCGTTTCCCGTTCATAACAAAGAGTTAGTATGAGTTAGTATACTAACAGTTAGTATACTATATGAGTATAGTCTTAGACCATAGCTTGTATATGATAGATGTATAAAGCTACTATTGCTTAAGCCACTGGTTTTATATTCCTAATCTTGAAGCCATTAGCAATTTAGCCATTAGCAATTTAGCCAGTTAGCAATTTAGCCATCAAAATTTTGGCTTTTACACATAAAGTAAAGAAAGCAAAGTTAAAAAAAAAAAAAAAAAGCCAGAAGTTAGCAGATCTGGATTAGAAGGTAGTCCATTAAAAATACTTTAAAGTCACCAGCAGAACAAACACAGTGGTGTTGTCCAGTACACTGTCTTGAATTAGCGGCGCTGAGGCCTAGCAAACACTGGCCTGTCAGAACATTTGTCCGTCTAAGCCGCCAGTGTCTATATCAGCATTAATGTTATGGACAGGTCTTGGGGGTCCAACCTGTCCATAAAGGTAAAGTTAAAGGTCATGGTAAATTATGTTAGTTTGGTAATGAAAAGACCCACAAGGCAGATAAGCTACTGTATCTTGAGATTAACTTAATTATTTGGTTAATAGTAGTTTAGTGCTTCTGCAGCAATCAGTATAAAATCAAGCATGCATTCTAACTTTTCAAACATTAGTGAAAGAATGGGCCATTTTGAAAAGCTCACTGAATTCGTGTGTGGTACTGTAACAGGTAATTTGGTGAAATTTCTTCCCTCCTAGATATTCCATGATCGATTATGTGTTATTATGGCAACGTGAAATTCAGGCACCAAGTGGAAGACAATGTAAAGTTAAAGAGCGGGGTTGCCAGCTGCTGGGGCACATATTTCACACAGTTCAAAAAATCCTCTGGCATTAACATCAGCACAAAAATTGTGCACCAGGACCTTGATGGCATGAGTTTACATGACCAAGCAGCTCCTGTACATGTAAAGTGTTGATTGCTTGTCCGTATGATGTAGTTTCACTTAAAAATTTCAAAACAAATGGAAATGCGGTGACGATATTGTGCGCTAACAGTCAACTGTTGTGTCTGTGTGTGTGTGTGTGTGTGTGTGGTGATTTCATATTTCCACGCCAGGAACTAGAGATAATGTCTCTCCTGTTTGTCTCCTGCTTTGCAATCAAAGACAGAGGTTTCTGCACTTTAGTAACTGAGACTAGATTTCTCTCTAAGTCTGCTATCCATGTTCAGTTGTAATTATGTTTTGTTTAACTTTGACCTAGTGTATAGGTTTATTAATCATAGGACTGAACCTTACTCCTATGTGTAAATTTAACGGGTCTTGCTGCTTATCATAATTTATAACCGCTTTGTGTGAGTAACAAAGTAAATACTCTTTAAAAAAAAAAAAAAAGAAAGAAAATGGAAAAGAAATGCAACTTGAGCTAAAGGCCGCCCTATCGCCATATAGTCCAGTTCATATACTCACCCAGGATAAATATACAAGAAATAAATTATCTGGCTTCCCAATATCTGTAAACCTGAAATATTGCTATATATATCTCTTTAACTTACGCTAATAATTGTGTAAACTGAAAAGCCTGACAGGTCTCGCACAAGTTGGGGGAGGTAAAACTTCAAGTCCCAGAATGCTGTGCGGCGGCGTCACTCTCCCTGTCCCCTCCTACAGCGCACGCTCGCAGGCGGAGAACGGGCAGAACGGGTCGGCTCCGTGTTTACGTTGAGATGCTCACAACAAAGGACAGCGCACCGCGGAGAGGCTGTCATTTAAAATAAAGAGAAAGCACCGTGGATATTTTCTCTTACGGTGAGCGTCTGCAATTCACGACTCCTGGAAGGGGAGAGCAAATACCAAAAAACCCTAATCTGCTTCCATTTTATTTATTTTTCCTACGTGATACGCTTTATTATTTTTTTATTATTTATATTTTATTTTTTTAAGCAGCTAAGACGCGGAGAAATTAGGACGAAATCTTCTGCCGTTTTTTCTATGTTTTTGTTTTTTCCTTCTGGGACGATAGCTAGCTCCTTAGCCTCTGCAAGTTGGTGGGAAGGCTAAGCAGCTGAGACCGACCGCAGGCTCGGGACAATAAGAGGACCTCATCATTTATATCGCAGTGAGTTCGCAGGCCACCTGACTTTGCTTGATAATTAAAACAGCGGGTGTAGTACGACAATAGCCATCCTGCTGCCCGCTAATAACTGTCTTTGTTCTGCAAACGGCTCCGGGAATGAACTGCTCCTTCATTAACGCTACTTTACCTCATTTGGTAATGTCCACTCACTCACTCACTCACTCACTCTGCGAGTAAAGTCATGACAGGGAGTGCTGCAGCTGCAGAGCGCTGATCTTTGTCTCTCAGTCGCACACACATATGCACCTGTTTTGACTGTGTGTTTATCTAAGTGGAAATCAGAGGCAGCTTCGCTAAGATACAGCTCTCTGCTTGGCATTGGCTGACTGTATCTTTGTGTGCAATGCAGGCTTCAGAGATGCAGGTATTAGTTTACATCCCATCCATCCTGGGTGCTGACCTGTCACAGGGAGGGGTGAGTGAGAAAGGGTACATTGCCTGATAAGGAATTAAGCAAATGCACGGACGCTTTTGCCATTCCCGGAGCTTGATTGCGAGTTAATGACTTCCCCCTCCTCTCCTTCTCTGTCTCCCATCTCATTTCACCTCTCTGTCTCCCCCCCTTCTCCTCATCTCTTTTTCTTTTTTCTTTCTGTCTGGTTTGGGTAGCTGGTGTGGATCTCACCACTTCCCTTCCCCTTTCTGGAAATGTCACAGAGAAGAGAGACGTGCATTAACACCATCTGCCCCTGATCTTACTTCCATTGTCTTCCATTGTCTGCCTCTAATGAGGAAATGTTGGCAAGTTGTAGCAACCAGTGAATTTCATTTTGTCACTGAACCAACCCCACAGCTTTTTAAAATTAGTTTCAGAATAGGAAATTCAAATAATTATAAACTGTATAGTTCTATCACATTTTTATTTAATTTAAGCTTAAAAAGAAAGCAGGAAAGTAGGCTTTCAATTTAGTTCTAGCTGCAGATGCATGGTGCGAAAAGTGTTGTGTATATAACGTGCTCTGTTGCAATCAGTTTTCTGCAAACATATAAGTTGTGCACAGTGTTATTGGGCAATATGGGTTTGTATCAGTGACCAAACACGTCTAGATCTGGTGTCTAGAATCAGACCCTGTATTATGAAGAAGATTTAAACAGTTCTCAGAATATGTCTTCATATTGTAGCAATGCTGATAACCGACCAAGCAGAGCAGCACAGGTTTTTCGACATGTTCACAATAAAGTGTGTAGAAACACTGACGAATGACAAATATTCAACAAGTATTAGGAATTTGAAAGCAAAACAGTTACTGCAGGCATTAAGCTGTTAAAGAACAGTGTCCACTGTTAGTCGTGTACGTTTATATGCTTTCAATGTCATTGCCAAATAAAGTCTGACTACAATTAAAATTTTGTCCTCCACTGAATTTATGTTAGCTTAATGTTACTAAAAACTAAAAAAAAAGGTTCAAATTGGTAAATATGATTTGTAAATCTTTAGTAAACTTTATTATATAAATATATTATTATTACATTATATATGGAATTAAAAGAAACAAGAAGTAAAGTCCTCTCAGCTGAGAATTGCTGTCGTTTGTTGATGACTTATAGAACTAAAGACTTTTTAACTATACATGCACCAAAGCCAGAATGATCTCCAAGGAATGGGGATGCTGTTTCCAAGAGCATTGATTGGTCAGTAGGTGGTGATTTTATACTTATCGATCCCCTGAACATAACAGATGAAAAGGAGCGAACTGCTTTGCAATGCTGAAAATCCAGAGTTAAATCTGATTTCTTATCTCACTAATCCCTAATCCTGCGTCACAGTGCAGACCTGCATAAGAATCCTGCAATTCATCACTGCTATAAATTGTGGAACCTTCAGCTTCTACTGGGCCAGGATTTGTTGTGTAACAGAGGTGAGAGTGCAAGTATAGCATATACACGCTTGCACATTTACATAGGGTGTGTTGGCTGCAGGCCCGAGTGTGTGTTCATGTTCTCAGCATGCTTTAGAGTCTCAATTTCAGGAAGGAAATCGGAGCTGTCGGTGTCAGACGGGAGTGCAGCTCTGATGTCTTAATGGAGGTTCAGTGCTGCCTGTATCCTTAGTTACCCAGTCTGTGGGGACACAGGGAGGCCTCACAGTCTCGCCTCGGTCTGGACTGGAAAAAAAAGGAATGAGCCCTTTTCATCTAAAATGTTTACGTTTTTTTAATTTCAATTAAATATTTAGCATGATTTTGTAGACGAACAGCTTCAGTAGCACCATGAAACTGTGCTAAACACCAACAGAATTACTAATGCGCTTACCCCCTATCGGCCTTTTAAAAGTGGCTTTCAATATTTGAAGTTATGAGCAGTTGACTTTATGGCAGTTTTGGTAACGCATTTTTGTTTCTGCGAGGGATTTTGGATTC